GGGGGGGGGGGGGGGGCGTCCGCCGCCCACGCTCCCGTACAGTGTGCGGATTTTTCTGCTGTGTTGCTTTTCTTTCTATGTGTGTGTGTGTGTGTGTGTGTGTGTGTGTGTGTGTATGTGTGTGTGTGTATGTGTGTGTGTGCGTGCCGAGTCGAATAAAATAACTTTATCTGCATGATGATGATGATGGGGCAGGCCGACAGAGACGGCCACGCCCTTGTATTCTCCCGCGGGCGGGCGTCCCAACACGCGCACCGCTGAGGCTGTTGTTTGGCGCCGCAACGGCAATGCTGTTGCTCCCACGCGGTGGAGGGGTGCATCTTGTTGCTCCTGCTGGCATCTGCCAGCACGACGTGTAAGTGTATCGGGTGGAGGGGGGGCCAGAAGGCCCTGGTGACTCCCGCGTCTGCTGTTTGTTTGTTCGTTTCTTTCTTTCTTTCTTTCACGTTTTGTTTCATGTTTTGTGTTCTTCTTCTTTATCCTCCTCCTTTGGAGTGTTGTTGTGGTGGTGGTGGATTCGCTTTGTTTTTTTTTTTGTTTTTGTTTTCTTTGCTTCGCTGTTTCGGTTGTTTTTTTTTTTGCTCATCTTCGTTCTACACGCTTCTGTCACTTCACACGGCGCTGCGCCCCCCACGCCCCAGCGGCGAGGGCGGGAAGGGGGGCGCAGCAACAACAACGACAACAAAACAAAAGAAAATTCGCAAAATAGAGAAACCCCCTCAAATTCCCCGTCCAATGTGTGTGTGTGTGTGTGTGTGTGTGTGTGTGTGTGTGTGTGNGTGCTGCCTTTTGTTTTTTTTTTTTTTGTGATCCTTCTGCTTCTTCCATTGCTGATTGTGTGCACCTGCTTCTACTACTTCCACTACTACTACTACTGCTGTTGCTATTGCGGCTGTTATGGCCGTCTGGGGTGGTAGTCCGTAGGAGTGTGTCTCTGTGCGGGTGGTGGACTTGGGCGTGTGCCTTCCATACGGCTGCCGCCACTCGCACATGTGCTCATTCGCTTGCACACATACACGCATGCATTTGCTCTCTGTTTGTATGCGGGTTATATATATATATATATAATGTGTGCGTGGGTATGATGCGTATTGAGTTGAGTAATCGACACGCGCAGGTAGCAGGGAGCGCGGCGGCCAGTGGTGCTTGTCTGCCAAATGGGCTTCATTCATGCGGAGGAGCGCGGTAGAAGAGTGGGCGATGGAGAAAGAAGCAGGAGGGGGGG